TTTTGAGCGCCAGGACGGCCTGTGTGTGTGTGGACAGTAGAGCCTCGGCCCGGTGGCTCGGCTGACGAGAAGCGTTTCTGACAAAGGGTCATTGGCTGTGCATGACGACAGACATGCCTGTACACACTGATGGGCTGCCTCCTCTGGCACAGTTACTCTAAATGTAGACTGGCACTGACACTAATGCACACTGATAAAGCTGTGAGAGTCAATAGTCAGGCAAGAGAGTGTGGGGGTGGGAGACACTGGATTCTTAATTTACCCCATTTGTTCCATTTGTCAGATGCTGGAGCTCTGTGGTAACTGGGTTGATGAATCATTCCGACTGTGGAGAGCTCTCCCTACAGTCCGCCGATTCTTAACAGGTGAAGGTTCATTTCGTGGCAGAGCTCGGCGTCTGGGGGACGGGGAAATTTTTAATTTCAACCGACATAATGATGCTGAGTGAGATTTGACTCATCCTCCGAAGCTTTTTCTCTCCCGGTGAGAGCGGCGGACTCATGCATGATGATCACCAAGGACACTGGCTGAGATCTGGGTTTCAGCCTGAGGATAGAATTCATAGATGCATGTCAATACAGACTGCAGAGAGAGACCTAATTAGGTTTTTTTTTTCTCTCTCTCTGTTGAAGAAAGAATGCACGTATTGATAATTTACTAAATTCTTAAGGAGGAACGGAGGTGACGAGGAGCATGCTGATATGTTATCTCTTAATATCCTGCCTCCTCTCGGCATCGTACAGGAGAACCCATTAGCACCGACTACATCTGCTTTTAGCTAATAATAGTGCAAATAGGTCATTAGTAGTGCTGTTTAATTGCTAAACGTATGCTCTGAGAGAACGGTGTCTTTACTGAGCAATCTATTGAAGGGCTGGTGAAGAAGAAAAAGCGTGTTTTAAATCATTGAAACCAACGAGGAACAATCTGTACCTGGACTTCATTGTGCCTATTTGCATTCACATTGTCTTTCTGTTCCTGGTGCCACGCCCCGTCTCTGGAAATCTCCACTGAGAATGCCAGTAAAAATCTGATTACCAACCATCAGGGAGTCAAAAGCGATTTTTAATTTCATCCTATGACAAGACAAGCCTCCAATCAAACACACATATGCACAGAAAACAAATTCCTTCACACATTTTCTGGGTGAAATCAAAAAAAAAATGTGCGGCCCTGCACATGAAAAAATAAAAAAAACTGTAATTCAAGGGTTATTGTGTGTCTGAGGTCAGTCGGGGCTGAGTGCAGCAAAAAGCATCGGTCAACAAAGAGATGAAGGGTATGCACACTAACTCTCTGCCTCTCTGCTTTAAATCCACACACACACACAACTTCTGAGACTTCTGGGTAAATGGTCACAGGGACACAGTATTCCCAGCAGGTCTTTGTAGATGAGGGTTGTCAGCACTTTTCTCACCAGAGGGTTTAGGCCTTTCGTTCTGCTCCGGGATGGCTGAGTTTAATTGGAGAACGCTAATGCGCAGCTGGATGGCAGAGCTGCTCGAGCCGTGGCCGGCTCTGAAAATGGGAAGAGGGCGTGAAAAAAAAAAAGGCGAAAGGGGGGCCGCTGTGTCTGCGGCAGCCAACCCCGAGCCTCCCTCAAGACGCCGACAAATTTATTCATGGGATCCGAGCGGTTTGTTTATGAGCCGTCTCATTTACAAAATAATAGGCAATAATAATTTCAGCAGATTGATCCTGGGTTAATCCAAATAATTGCCAATTCATTACAATTTCACATTTTCTGGAAATAGAATTGACTCGTTCTGTCTGTCAGCGGGGCGTAAACTCCGTGCCCAATCGATCAGGTCGTATGTGAGACATGTTCCATCAGACAAAAGCCAAACAATGTCACAAAACATTCGGCACAATGGGCAACAAATTGGAAAACGTGTCGCCGCTCCTCCACTGTAACGTACTTAGCGAGGCCTCTGAAGAATTAAAGAGGGATATAAATAACAGGAGGAGTGTCAGGAGGAGTCGATGTACAGCATAAAAGCCCCTCATCTGGGAACAAATCTTTTTTTTTTTTTTGGGTTTGTAGATGATCAATGGAGTTGTGCGCTCTGTGACTGATTTTGTGATGTGCTCAGTTCTGACAGATTCACAGAAGGGGAGAGAAAAGCATTGATCTGTGTTTACGTTAGTCAACTCTTTGAGAAATAAAAAACTGTTGAAAGAATAATGGTTTGGATTTTTAAAAAAATTGTACATGGTGTGTTATACGATCCGAATGATTTGAAACCGGGCTATTTTTAGAGCATCTTCATAGTTTGCTTACCACTAAATGCCGTATTAGATGTGGTTTTGTTGACATGTGTGGTTTTGAAGTCAGTAATTTGTTTCAGGTTACGGAGGGTAAAGTATGGGGAAAGGTTACGATTCCCACTGGATTCTAATCTTTGTTGTAGGAGCCTTTTGTTCATCTCTCCTTTTTTTTTTTGTTTTACGTCTGGGGGTGCTTTAAAGCTGCTTGCACTCTTCTATTAAGTTCCCACGGATGGTGCACCCGAGTGGAGACTGTGGAGATAAAACACCCCTGGGACGTGGTTTTAAATCCAAGAAGCAGCAGTGGCGGGCGGCGGCGTCTTCGGAGGAGGGATGATGTCATTGTTTCTGATGGGAGTCCACCGGCTGGCCGGTTCGGCCCGGGGAGCTGGAGTGGCATGAATTTATGCTCTTCACTCTGAGATGACAGCTAGAGATTCATGAGCGCCAGAGGAGGCGCGAGGTAGCGAACACGTCCCACAGGGCGAACAGAAGGGTGAGCCGCGACATGATGCACATCAGGAAGCAGGAAAAAAATGTAAAAAAACAAAACAAAAAAATGTCACTTGGCTGATTATTCTGCGCAGTAGCCTGCCTCGACGTGTCAGGTATGCACAGATAGATTCACATGCTGTTGTTTCTGTTGGGTTTTCTGACTAAAAATACAGAAAAAATGTCCTTTAAACATGGCAACGACGCAGCCAGGTGTTTGTGCGACACTTGGGATCTGCTCATTTCCAACAGTGTGATCATTCAGTCAGCGGCGGGATGGTGGAACAAAAAACAGCTCGTTGTCAGGAGCGGTTTTAAACGGATGGAAAGAACCGCGTGAGCTCGGTCTGACATTTGAACGCGTCTTTCTTTCAGTTCATTTCTCTGGTTTTTGGTCACGGCAAGCAGCAACGTCTACAAATTATGTGCCTCGTGCGTTGGATGGCGCTCCAAGTGAAACATGTGTCGGCTCCGGTCGCGCCACTCGTTGCCGGAGAGACAAAATGTGAGGAGACACAAACAGCGAACCCGAGAGTGGAAATGCAGAAAGCGGAGCCGGACACCTTCAGATCGGACGACCAATGAAAATACCGCAAGAGGCAGAGAGAAAACATCAGCTGCATCTCTCCTGATGATTATCACGGAGCTGCAGTTTGGTTTGGAGTCAGGACAAAGCAGCAGTATGGATATTAGATGTTTTTGTTTTACATAAACGATGGTGGAACTCTTCAGGATTTGTAAGCTCCTGAGAACACAAAAAAACATTTAAAAGTTGCTTTAAACTTCTGGTTATTATAGGTTTGTGGTCAATGCAGCAAAGCGTCCAAAACTAGCACCCTATCAGAAATACTGTAATTATACAGCTGGCATTGTGTATCTTGTGTTATACATTTGCTGCACATGCTCCCTGCTATGTTTAGGCAGCGGCGTACAGTACAGCATAGCAACACATTGCTACCCATTTAGGCCGCATCACTGTAGCATATTACTGCATTAATTGGTGCAGCTGCTTAAGCATCACGCCATGCGCGCAGGTTCCTGATTGCTGGGTAGGTGTCCGTTAGAGTCGACCCTGTGGTGTGCTATAACATGTAGCTGCATAATAAGCTGGAGGCAAGAATAGCAGCAACACTCGTGCTTCACGTGGTGGCACCAGGTGACTCACACCGGGGGCAAACATAACACTTTTGACTGCAAACGATTGTAGAAATGGAAGATAATTTGAACAAGGTGGCATTACTATGGGGTTTAAAAAATGCATCACTGTGGAGTTTCATATCTCTAATCTTGATACATGATGTTGTGTTACATTAATCGCACATATGAACTAGATAGATATTAAAATTGGGCTGCAAGGTGGCTCAGTGGTTAGCATCGTTGCCTCGCAGCTAGAAGGTCACCTGTGAGGACACCACGGATCTTTCTGCGTGGAGTTTGCATGTTCTCCCCGTGCAGTGTGGGTTCTCTACAGGTTCTCCGGCTTCCTCCAAAAACATGTTGAGGTTAGTTGGTGATTCTAAATTGTCTGTAGGTGTGAATGTGAGTGTGCTTGGTTGTCTGTCTCTAAGTGTAGCCCTGTGATAGACTGGTGACCTGTCCAGGGTGCTGGGATAGACTCCAGCCCCCCATGACCCCAGTGAGGATTAAGCGGTGTATAGATGATGGATGGATTAAAATTAACAGTTAAAGCAAAAGCTAAGTAATAATTTGCAGTTCTTATGAAACGGTTTTGGTAAACATGACATTTATGATGCCCTGAAGTTTATTATTTTACGTTTAAAACTCAGGAGTGACACCTGACAGCTCATGTAAATATGAACATAGCATATCAGTGTATGAACACACACATACAGGCACTCATGCATACCTGAACTTTAGCTTTAAAATCTTATTATTTATGATGATTTTTCTTTATGAAGGTTTTTAAAGAACGTTCTTTCATCATGTCTTATTGTTATTGCACAGCCTTGAGGAACAGTCTGTACGAGCATCGGTTCAAACTCCTGAATCTTGAAAGTAACAGCTGATGCAATGCTAGGCGGCAAATATGCACGTTGTTACCGACCACAGTTACAACATGTAGGAGTGATGCACTTTCGTCAAACACCAGTAGACGATGTTTGTCCAGTCCAGTGTCTGGATGTCCACCGTCTCAACAACTATAGGCTGGATGGCACCAAATCTAAATTCCTGAACGTTGCTTTCAAGGGTTCTGATCAGAAAAACCTTCAACAGTCCTATCAGAGCGTGTTGTGTTCAGTGACCGATGGTAAAACACAGCAACACGCTAATGGTCGACCAGCAGACGACCCCGCTCTCAGCGTGTTCACTTCAGTCTCGAGTCACTTCAGAGCACATTAACCTGCTTCCTTCCTGAACTTTAATATCGCACACGTCTTCTCTTTTAACACATCTCCAGCACATTACCATTTTGCAGCCACTTGTGAAAACGTAATTACAAACCCATGTGACGGATGAGCTGACTGAAGGCTGTGTGTTAGCGGACCGTTAGCCATTTAGCGCGTCGGAGGTAAATGTTGAGAGCAAAAGCGTCCTTTACGGTAACACAGCTGTTGGTTTGTTTTTTTTTTTTATTATGGACAACCCCAATGTAACCTCAGAGTGTACACATTGATAACAGGTAGAAAACAAGAGCAAAAAACAAACAATAACAAAAACAGATCTCTAGAAGCCATGAACAATTTGTTTATCCCAAAAAATAAAAAGGTTATTAGAAAGACAAACTGTGGTGACAGAACAATGCACTTTGTTTTTTTTGTTGTTGTTTTTTTTTTCCTGTGACACAGGTAAGGTCGCTGGGTCTTTTCTTTTTTTTTGATAACAATGAGAATATTTAATGAGAGAACATTTCATAATGCGACTTACACAGCAGAGTCCACTGAATATAGATTCTATAGAGACACAGTCATTTGAAGAAATCACATATTTTTTACCCTCTAACGCAGCTTTTCTGTTTACAAACCGGCCTCCGAGCTACAAAACTAAGCGATCGATGAGGAAACCTCCCCTCCTGCATCCAGCCCAATGAATTGCTTGTGCATACACCATGTCCATTAACCATTTAATCACTACAGTTTAATGACTCGTGCTATTGGCTGTCTGTGTGCTTTCCTCAAGTCATTCGGATTGATAATGTTCTTTTTTTTTTTTACTCCCCTCAATTCTTGGCTTATTGGCAGCTCAACAATTCACAAGTTTCTTCTTGCAAAATGTCCAATCCAGAGTTTTAGTCGTGGGCCTATAAAATTAAACCGACTCCTCAAAGAAGCTGCAGATTGAAAGGCAGAAATGATTCACCAGAAAAAAAGTGTAAAAAAAAACTCATCAACTCATGGGGCTGCATTGAAGTACCGGAGACGTATTCAGCTTCAAATACAATACTTGTCTGAACTTATTAGCACCATAAAATAGCAAAATTATTTAAAAAAAAGCATAAAAAACACTAATCTACATAAACCACGGCAGGCACTGTCAGATCATTTCTCACTATAGGCATTGTAGTCTTTAATACTACGTAATTTGTATTCTCTGATTTCACACTGCGTTGAATGGAGGTGGCATCACATACCGTACGAGGTGCTTCAGCAAACTCGCTTTTGAATTTAGGGCCCATGAGGAACAGTTTTTTAAAGACAAAAATCCAGCCATATTTCATCCTAAAAGTACTTTGATAGAGGAAATGTTGTAGAATTCCACTCGCGGCTCTGTTAGGAGGAGAGAAAAAAAAAAAAAAACGAGACGGCCATGCATGTTAAAAGCCTATGTGCCATCAAAGCCCCTTGGGCTACAAAAGGCTCTTTTAGCAAATGGATGGCAACAGCTGCAAACTCTGGGCTGTTCTTAATGTGCACGGTGCAGATGTCTGCACTTGAGTCCCACAGTCTGAGACAGATCTGTCTGGCTCTACACTGGGCCTCTCTCATCATATCACTGTAGCTTCATTAAGCACTGAACTCAATATCAGCATCTGCCTGACAGTTTTTACTCTCCAATTAAAGTAAAGGAGGGAAGAGAAAAAAAAAAACACCAAAAGCTACAGCGATAACCATCAAAGAGTCTTGTTATATACTGTATGTATCCTTTTATCTCTCTTATTCTAGCCTCATATGAAATGATCTACACTAAACCGTGACCCTTTCAACTTTTTCTCAGTGGCGGAAGCTGTACCGACACCAAAAACCAGCGCAGTGGAGACGGCGTGATGGTATTATTTGGTTTTGTTGATTCATTTTTATGGTCAGTTTTCCCAAAAAAAAAAAAAAAAATGGAGCAAACAATGGAGGCAACTGCGGCTACATCCAACGGGAATCCTCCTGCTGTAGCGCCGCCGTGGATCTGCTAACGGCTGGAGATTCGACCACAAAGAGTTTAGAGCGACGTCACGGGTCCGTCTTTGTTCAATCAGATCATTTGTTGTTTATTTGCAGAACTTTTTTTTTTTACATTTAAGGCTCACAAGATAATAATAATAAAAAAAAAAAATCAAATAAAAATTCAAATAAGCACTTGTATGAGGCGACATACATTACTGATACTTGGAGGAGGAAGGAGGAAGGAGGAAAAAAAAAGCTGCATTTACAAAAAATCAACACACAGTGATAAGAAAATGCCGACATGAACCATATTCAATCCGATAACACACATCTATCCAATCAGTGAACTGGGACAGAACGTTGTTGACTACTGAACTCATTTAATGCGTAAAACAAATACAAGTTACTTCACTGGGTCATCACAATTGAACAAGAGATTTGTTTGTTTTTTTTTTTGCCTTTTTTTTTGTAACACCCTCAGAAATATACATTCACATGGCTGCATACAGACAATTTCTCTCCGTTTCGAGTTTCTTTCAATAACATTAAAACCGACAAACCGTATGCGTCGCCCTCTCCGTATGACAGTGAAGCCACTACCGGCATATTAAAAACGTACTAGAGGAGCTTTTTTTTTTTTTTTTTTAAAGGTGGGACTTTGGAAATAAGCTATGCGTCAACTTCATCTAGCCATCATCGAGTCTCCGTGTTTGCAGTCAAAATAGGTATATTTTTTTTTTTTACAGAACAGGGTCCCTAACACAGTTGTCCCTAAATAAACCCCCACTATAATCTCAACCTTATGTACAGTATTTACAGTGGAATGTTGAACATACTGAATACAAAAAAGTAGATTAGGATGGAATGAAGTTACAGTCAGTATTACAAAATAGAAACTCATAACACCCCGACAACGTGAAGACAATGTTTACATCTACCGGACTCAAAAGGCTTTTTTTCTCTTTCTCTCCCACATGTCTTGAGAAGCAAAGTGTGGCAGTGGTTCCATGATGGATGCAGAAAATGGTCAAATGAAACCTTGTGCTTTGAAAAGAGGGGAAAGGGGGGTATAATCGTGATGTACAATATCTCTCCACCGGATTTCAATTGTTGTGCTTAGAAAAAATCAGCAACCAAAGCCGCGAGAAGCGAGGACGACGACGAACCCCCCCGCCCAACCGCTCGAGTTTAGCCGACCTCAAAGCGGTGATGGATGCAGCTTTTAAAGAGATCAGCTGATTTATAGATCAAGTATAGATATATTAGTTAGTACCGAGCCGGAGCCAGGGAGGGTGAATAACGTCCCCGCCGTACTAACTCAAAACTCCCCGCGAGTAAACAACCATCATTTCATCTGATAGATGCTCTGCAGCCCGTGTTCCGTCCCGCCATCACTCACTCCGTTATTCCGAATAACTTAAAACGATGAAGCGGCGACCGCTCGGACGACGTCTCCCGACTTCGATAGGCACTGAGAACCGAAGGTAACAATTCATATGTTTTGTGTCGTTATGCCGCGACGGTATAAAAACTGAGAAGCTACCGCGAAGCCGCGCGCACTGCGGGGCGATTAAACGATTAAAACTACAAAAAATCGCAAGTTGCTTTCGCGCGCTGGAAGTAGCCACGCCCCTCCCCCGCCCCGTCATTTAGTCTCCTCCCTATCGCGACACATGCGACGAAAATAAGGCTGCAGCAAATGAATCTCTCTAAAAAAGGAAACGGAGAGCAAGAGACTTTTTAATAAGAACATGATATTTCCCACTTTGTGATGCTAATTTTTGAAAATACGATATAGTTTTGAGGCTCATGATTAACATGCTCATCTAAAAACATACAGTAGACAAGCATGGACCGTAAAACATTCACATCTCCAGGCGGCAGAGAGATCTGCTCCCACGGAGATGTTTTTTTTTTCTCTTTTTTTTTCATCTTTATTAATATATATATTTATATATATGTATATTTATATACCTTTTTGTGTGTTAACTGCGATATTGTTACTGGGTACTGTGCGCCCACAAACTCATACCTCTGTCAATACTGACGACGCTCACAAAGTGTCGTCTTTTGAGCTGGAAAATGAGGACAAACACGCTGGAATTGATAGAAAAAATAGCAACATATGCACTTCCACTCCCACACAAAGAACATGCATAAAATAAGGCTTAATACAGTATTTATATTGTTCAGAGCCAGTCAGATATGTCGTTTACATCCACAGATTTACTCCGATGCTTCTGCTATATCCGATTTTTCACATTGAGCTTTTATTTTTTTTTTTGCTTTTTTTTTTTTTTTGGCTTTTCTTTTTTGTTTTTTTTTGAAGCAAATGCATTTCGGTGATTGTGTAATGGGCCTCGGTGCCGAGGACAGAAACGAGTCATTTGCTATGCTAGCATCCACTGGCACTTGTTAACAGCAATTTTTAAAAACAGATATCTATATATTTATAAAACGCCTGCCAACGGGGCCACTTTTTTACCCCAGCGAGCAGATTCAGATGCCAACATTAAAGGAAAAAAAACTTTAAAATCACCCCCAAAAAAAGAAAAAGAAACGACTGGAAAATCTGTTTTTTTTTTAAAAGAAAGAAATAAAAAACATCCATGAAAGCAGCAGGTGACTTATTATACTCCAGCATGGCCACCATCATTTTTTGTTTTCAATTCCCTTTACATGTTTAAAACCTCTGTACATAAAAAGCATCGGTTTTTCCTATCTGTGTCCTTTTGTGTCCATGGATGACTCCCTCAGAGAAAACGCTGTCGACGTACGCCAGATTCTTCGAGCAACACAGTCACAATTACAAGGAGAGTCATTGTTGGGTGGAATTCCTCAAGACACGTTTGATAGAAAAAGAAAACACGAGATAACACAAATAACAGACATTTCATCATAGTGGTAAGATGTCGTGTACACAGGCTCGACCTGTTCAAGTCAAGTGACAATCATGACATTTCAGAGCATTATTAGAGGTTTTCCCTGCGACCAAAATGGTTTTTTTTTTCTCCCCGGACATGATTGCGATGTACCACTGAAAACTTGAAATTATTGTGAGTGATAAAATTGCAGCCCTTCTCTGCCGCGCTATTTTGCTTTGGCTGATAAGGGCATGTGTGAAATTTAGTTTAAAAAAAACAAACACTGGATCCGTCGTGTCCACACAGCTCAGTACACCGACTCCCTCCCGCTCTCTCGGTAAAGACGCGAATCGTGAATGAACACGTCTTTGGAAAACAGCAATCTGCTTTTTTTTTTAAACCAAAATGGGTAATTCCTCGTACGCTCCGCCCCCACTGAGAAACAGGAGAAATGATGCACGTCTTTTTTTTTTTTTTCTATATCTTTCTTTCTCTAAAACATTTGACCACACAGCCACGAACACGTAGAAACCCCACCTGTAATTATGTCACACATTTAACTCTCTGCTCATTTAAAAAAAAAAAGAAATCATACAAAAAACAAAAAAAAAAGGCATCGTAAAAAAAATAACAGAATCGTACATCCAGTGTAGGACTTTCACAAATGTGCTCAGCAAAAACCTCAACCTGCCGTCTCTTTTTATACATTTAATACATTTCTAACATGAAAAAATTAAAAAAAAAAAATTACACACAAAATAAAGAAGAATACACCAGTATCAATCAACCAATCACCTCCCTGCTAGTCTGGCGGGTAAGTGAGTCCGTTTACATACCTTAAGTTTGTACTCTTTGCCCATTCACCCGATGGAACGGACACCAATGCTGTCGTGTTGAGAAGTTTGATGTTGCTAGCACTTTAAATAGACGCTTGATTTTTCTAATTGAGATTAGTTGGATGGGTGGTTTGATATGGGGAGGAAGTCAGGAGTGGGGGGGGTAACTAGGTTTGACCAAAAGAGGAGTGACGGTGCAGTTTGACAGATGGGAGGAGGGGGTGGTGGTGGATGGAGGTGAAGGGTGCGGTGGAGATGCAGGTGGTGGTGGTGGTGGTGGTGGGACAGGGGGCTGTTTGGTTTGGTTGTTTTGCATGCCACTACACATACCACTCTTTCTTAGAAATGACAGAGCCGTCGGTTTGAGAGATCATATCGTCGGCTATTTCAGGTTCGGGGTCGTACTGGAAGGCCAGAGTCCGCTCGTCATAATCTCGGCTCTCCCCTTCGTCCACAGTGAAATAGGGCCTCTTCAGGTCCTCCGCTTCGGCGTCAAAATCGCGCTCGCCGGCCTCGAAGCCGCCGGTGCTGCCGATCTGGGCGGGCTTCTTCTCGTCGTCCGAGTCGTCCGGGTACTGCAGGTTCTTGGGGATGGGCGGGTGAGCGGGCAGGCCGCCGGCCTTGCTGTAGCCGTTTCCGAACACGTGTTTCTTGGTGCTGTAGTCGCCCTTGAAGGTGCGCTGGCGGCGGCGCAGGAATACGAAGAGCAGTATGGCCGCCACGCCCAACAGGGCAACTCCCCCCACGGCGCCCCCGATGGCGGCGCCGGCATTGTGCTGCACCTGTGGGATCCCACCGTCCTCAGGTTGCTGGTTGTTAGGGATTTCTGGGTAGGAAAAGACAGATGGAAGGGAGTGTGTCAGTGCTCTGGTGGGAGGAGGTGCGTTTGTGCAGGTGCAGATTTTTTTTTTTAAGGAAAGATGAAGTAAGGGAGACAAGGACGGAAAAGCAGAGGGGAAAGGAAGGACCCACGACGACCCCCCAACCCCACCCACAGGAGCCTTTATTGTGGCGAGGCTCCAACAGTCGCATGCAGTTTCAGAGCGAATGAAATCAAACAGCCAGTCCAGCACACGAAACCATCAAAGAGTAGAGTATTAAAGTGAACCAGCATGCACTAACCAGCGTTTCTTCTGTTTGGAAGGAAAAAATTAAACAATTTAATAAGCAAAAGAATTAATTAATGCGAGCTTTCGGTTAGTAAATTCAACTTTCAGACAAGTCAGAGCGAACATACGCCACGCTGCAGCTCCGGTCCGGCGTGGAGCAGTGCAACATGACATCTTCATCGTCAGCGTGGTGGTAATGAAATGAAAGAGCGCTGCCAGACATGATTATCATCAGCCAAGCAGCCACAATGCATCGAGCGAGCTGCTAAAAACATGAAGCTCTTCCATTCAGGCAGCAGAGCACACAGCGAGAAACAGCATATGCTTCCAAGAGAAAGATAGATATATGTATAATTCAGTCAGGACAGTGGAGAAAAGAGAAGATTATCATCAAAAGAGTCACAGCTCTAATCCAGAACACAGCGAATACGACTAATGGCCTGTTAGAGGCAATAACTGAGATGCCAGCGAGAGTCTGAAGGCTGGGATTGAGTGTGTTTACTGATATGTTAAACCCACATGAGGAACTGGAAGCCTTCAGTCCACCATTTTATAGAAGCAGGAAAAAAGGCACAGTAACACCGACGTCCTCTACATGAAACCAAAAAAAGGAAAGACATGCAAAGCTCCTCGGAGCACACACAGGAGAGACTGTTATCTTAAACACGATCAAAGCCTGGAGGCGCTCAGGTAGCGGAGCACGTTTGACTTTAATGCCTGAACGGCGAATCCTCAACAGGAAGGTCGGGGAGAGAAACAACGGAGTTCGACTGAGGGAACGGCGTGGCGGAGGAACACGGCAGAACAAAACAGCGACGGGAGAATGTACAGTAGGCAACAAGCTAAGACAAGTCAGACACACCGATGAGATTTACTGCTTTTTCATGCTACCTGTGCAACTCCATCCGCCTCCGACACGGTGACGAGTGTTGCGCGGCTTTGTTCCAGGCCTTTTATGACGCACCGTCATGTAATCGGCAGCACAAAGGCGTCTGATTTGACCGACGCTTACACGAATACATCAACAAATGACACCATGTAAGGAATTAAGTGCGGCTCACTCTCACGAACCGGGGTTTAAATTGAAGTTTACATATACATAATAAAGCACAAAGCAGCCACCACTGTTGTGTGGGATATGAAAGACAATAACTGCCGGTGTTATCTCACCAAACCTGTTTTGTGCTCCTTGGAGATGTTAAACTATCCAGCTCCTCTCAGACACAATCAAATCAGGACTTTAATGCAAGAAGCAGCAGCAGCGATCCTCATCATGCGACACATGAGAGAGACGCGTAAGCTTCGTCAAATCATCGCCCCGAACTGTTGAATCAAAGCACCTGATTAGAACCGCTCTTCAGTGGAAATGCTAAATCTCTGAGCTAAGAGGCTACCGCTTTAATTACAATGGCGCTCTATCAGTCCAAGAAGGAAGAGACCTCCCAAACGAAGCCGCCGCCGCCGCCTCTCCTCAGCCGCTCTTCCTCCCAGGGCCGGCAGCAAAGCTCTCCAATTTCTAAAGCGGTGCCGGGCACAGTCTCAAATATCAGCTCAGGTTTTAATCTGACCACCTAATGGGATTATTCAGACACAGGCCTTCATTACACACATCAATGAGAGAGCAGAGCCAGGTCACCCCTGCTAGAGAACACATCCTCCCACCAAGTCCAAGGAGGGGTGCAAATCCTGAGGAACTGAACAACGAGGAGGAGGAAACAGCCTCCTGTAATCCTCTCCTCTACCCTTCACTGCCCTCCTCGGCTACGATCTGTTTTTGCTCTCTTCTATTCAATCTTAATTAGGCAGATTTTTCCTCGCCCCGGCTTTCTAAGGTTACCAAAAGCCCCACGTTTAGCGCCGTTTAAAGAGGTGAGGAGCACGAGGTTAGAGCGTTTAAACAGGTAAAAGACGACGCCTTCAAAGGCCGTCTCCGTCCCCCCCGTTAAGGATCGAGTGACGCTACCTCTCGACGCCTTCACCTGAGGAATGTGAACGAGCGATTCATTGTCCCTACAAACTACAGACATGAAAGCAGTTGTAAACATGTGGGTATTTTTGTGGCTTCTTTTTTGTCGTCGCTGGCCAGCGCATGCACCCCAGAGGAACAACAAAAGGTGTTTTTTCTAAAGCGGCTATTAAACATGGAAGGGAGATAGAAGGCCAGAAACATCGGGAATAGCTCATGAGATCGTTGAAGAGCGGCTTTTATTCCGCGATTCAAAAATAAAGGTGCGCCGGCGTGAAAGGGCTCTCTGTTCGTATCCCTCCGCAAGGTCACACCGTTGATAACAAAAACAGCAAAGAGGAGCTTATATATAAACATACATCCTCCAGCTTTGTCTAACCAGCGCCCTCTGTGGATGGACGTGGAATTGCAGCGCTAACTAATACGAAACAATAATGATGCATACGGAGGAGGAAGGAGGAGGAAGGAGGCGTCCCAATAGCATCGGCCTTCACCAACACAACAACAACAACTGATACCGTTCCAGAGCGCCGACAAACGTCTATTAGAAGTCTACAAAAACGCACAGCTGAGATTAATAGGCGGCAGGACGCGCCATGAGAGGCGATAATTCAATCCAGACGCGTGATAGATTCATACAGGTAATGAATAACGCGGAGCCGTTTTAGCGCTACAACGGCGGCGCTTTGTATCGGATTAATCACGGCGTTCTGAACGCTCGCATCCGACTTGATCGAGTGGATGATTTACTGCCGGCAAACATTTCAGCGACAAAATCTGCTTCCTTCACAACCCGATGAGCGTTCTTCGTCTGAGTCATTTGTTTAAAACAGAAACGGGTCTTTAAAAGAAAACAAATGGTAAACAAATTCAACAAGAACAAAAAAAAAAGTACCGATATCTTGTAGTGGAAATGATTTGTGGCCTCAGAAAACGTCGGAAGAAGGGGCTTGTATTTTTACAAGCAGCAGAAGCTGTTCAAAGATACCAAAAGGAATGTCTGAAACAGAAGGAGGCTTTAAAGTCGAGAGAAACTGTTTCACAACTCTGTCCTGCAGGTAGTGTTTCTGGGTGTGCTCCAGTCATGTCTACACATGAATTAAAAAAAAAAAAGAAAAAGGAGGAGAGAGACAGGTACAAACATTCCTGAGACTTAGCGCAATCACTTGGACAAGGTTATGACAGAGGCTGGGAAAATGGGAGAGGATTTCAAAGAGTGCTGCCGGGGAGTGGTGTTTTAATACGACTAAATGAGGAACAAGCAGCACACAACACCAGATGAAAAGAAAATAGAGGGCTACTCTAAGAGAAGTTGAGAGGTGGCAACAAGGAGAGAGAGAGAGAAGAAAAAAGGAAGATGGAAGCCTTTGAGAGGTTTTCGGCGAGTGACGACAGCAAATAAAGAACGGCACAATGAGCGAGTGGGGACAATCGGTGAGAAGACGCATTAATTCGGTGATTTCAAAGATCCTCATTACTCCCCCCTGTCTGAATTTGCCAGTGGTTGTGAAGTCATGGAAATGTAATGCTGCCACGACGAATAAAAAGCTCATCACTGACAGGAATTTAACATGCTGCCTGGGGAGTCGCAGCTGAGGCAAATCTCTTTTCCACCCTATTCTCTTCCAACCATTTCTTTTTTTCCCTTTACCCAGTTTGTCAACATATATTTCTTGCTAGCGCTGCTTTTACCTACCTCACATGCACTCGTGCCACTAAAACTCGTAATTCAAATTCAATTCTAGGTTAAAAGAAACATAACACCCCAATGGATGAGAAAGGATGGGATGTGCTGGAGGAGATAACGCCATCATCAAAAACAACCCTCCGCTGACATCATCTGTGGCATGTTTGTGTGAACATGCAGCAACTTGCATCCTTGTCAGGGAAAAGAAAAAAAAAGCCTTCTGTGTTCGTCTCCCTTCAGCAGAAACTAATCTGTGGGACTTTTTTACTGGTGACCGAGGATTCGCAGGCATCCGTGATTTATGGCCGAAATAAACAATAATCCTGACCGAGCAAATTAGAGCGAGAAATCCCCCCTCGTCTGAGGTCGGGTTTGAAAGAAAATTCCTCCCCTTGGAGAGATAACACGGCCATTTTGTGCAACAGGGGTGGTGATAATAATTTTTAATGCACCTTTAATGAGCGACGCAAACAACTCCTTTAAAAGTAATGTTCGCTCTCCGGCACGTGGGTGCGGCGGTTAGGACGCGTTATTGGGTCAGCAGACATGCAGCGCGCAAATCTGCATATTAGTGCATGTTAAGCCAGGAGAGGTCGGGCCGCTGCTACGGTTACGCACAGCATCCTACCCTCAGCTTTGTTTTTTTTTTTTTTATCTCGGTGTTGTTATTTTGGTGTGTGTAATGAGTGAATCACCACACAGCAGCAGCAGCAGCAGCTCGGCAGCCAGTGGTCAGACCCTGGGACAGCGTCTGACCTACTTCATCAGGCTCTCAGGGAGGCGTGACAGATCCAACACCACACGGGTGGACAGCGAGGAAGAGGAGGATAGAGGAGGTGAGCTGGGCCGAAGGGGGCTCGGGCCAATCCCCCCCATGCTCCATCTGTCTGCCACATCCCTCTCCTCTCCGTGCATATCCTCCGGAGAGCAGAAACAGCAAGCCATGCAGAAACAAATGTTAAGATAAATCACTACGATCTCAGCTGCTCGCCTCTCACATGCTCTCCCCTGGTGACATTTGCATTTCACTCCTCCAGCCGGGCTTCTTCTCCAAATATATATAT